AACTTATCCTGGTTAAATAAGTTTATAGCCACTATAATAGTAGATCAGAAGCTATTAGAGCAGAACATAATTCATGAACAATCAAAATAATCTATATTTTTGCATTTAAAAGTTTTAACATTTGAATTTTATACTGGGAAAATGGACATGAATAATCTCAACTATTGGAGATCCGCTTAAAATAATCCAAATTGTCAATTATCTCAAAACAATCTCAACTATTGAAAAAAATATCAAAATACTCCAGTGACTTATAATAACCCCTTAATTGTTTATAATATTTACAGCCAATGGAGCATTTTGAGAAGTTTTTCAAAAGTTGGAATTATTTTGAGATATTTGATACTTGGGATTATTTTAAGTGGATCACCAATAGTTGGGATTATTCTTGTCCATTTTTCCTATAGTTTTTACATTTTAATTTATTTTAGTTTTTTTTCAATTTAACTTTTTTTATATTATACTTCGTATAAAACTTATGTAAGTTTTATAAAATTTAAAAGTCTATAATTTTCTAATTTTTTTCTAAAAAACCCATCATAGCATGTTAAGATGACTAGACTGATTGTGTTTTAAAAGTAAGCATGCTTATATGATACTACCTCCGTTTCGGCGGCCTAAGGTTCCCATGACAAAATGACACGGTTACTTAAACAATAATTAATAAGGTAATTTGAGTATATTTTGAGAAATATTTTTGATGGGTATATAATATAATGAAGTCATTGATGATAACCGTGATGTTATAGATGTATTATTTTCAATATTTGATGAATAAATTATCATTTAAGAGTGCTAATTATTTCTTAAAATAGAAATAGAACCTTTAGGTGGGACGTTCAAAAAAAGAAAATGAGAACCCAAACTGTAAAGGGGTCATTAGTTTATAGTATAGAGACTCGTTAGATAGATTTGAAATAACTATTTACGTAAACTCTTTTTGGCATCGATATCGTGGATCGGTTCATGTTAGTCGACCTCGAAATCTTTTGGGATTAAGGCTTGAATGTTGTTGTATAATTATTTACGTAAAATATTTTTTTTTATCAATGTAACCATGTTTAATTAGTTTTAACGTTAGGGGTTGCCATTATAGTATTTAAAAACATTTCATACTCCTTCCGTCCCTTTTTATTTAGTCAAACATTATTTTCCAAGTCAATGATGATAAACTTTGACCGATTATATATTTCTACACGGTAATATTAATGATATGAAAATGATATGAAAATGTTCTTTGTTAAAAATACTATCATAAAAGTATAAATTTATTAAGTTTCACATAAATATATTAGTTAAAATAATGGATTAAAGTTTATCATCTTTGACTAAAAAAGTCAAAAATACTAATAAAAAAGGGGACGGAGGTAATATTTAACTATGAATCGCCATACTATTATAGTATTATGTTTTATCAATGTTTATTAGTCATTGATAAGACAAATAATTAAACATTTATTACTATCTTCCAACATATTTTCACTTCTTTCTAAAGAAAATACTCGTACTTGACTACCTAGTATTTCACACTATTATTCTTGTGAGTGTGTCGTCTATATTTATTTTTTATGGACTTGAATTATATTTTTTATTATTTTTAATATCTTTATTGTTGATTTATTAAAACCTGTTTTTGCTACATCACTACATCAGTCAATACAAACACAACGTATGAACAGTTGATTAAAAATTTGTTTTTTGCCGGACATAATAACAACATCAAGTACTCTAATTTTAGTAATTCAAGGCATAAGTAAATAATCTAATAGGCTATATGTTTTATTTATATAAATTTATGACATTAATTTCACTACACCTATTGTTTCTAAAATTAATTACTTCCACTATCTCAAAATGAAAGTTCCATTGTCAATTTAATTTTTTAATAATAATAAAATTAATCCGACCCTTACAATATTGCAATGAAAACAAATAATCAGAATTTGCATATTTAGATATTATACTTGAAGTTCTCCTAACCCACAAAAAATATATTTCCATATGGTAATACTTGACCCATAGAATTAGAGATGAAAACTGAGCTGATATTTTTATTTTAGGACTTGGAAAAAACATAACACTTCTAACAATTTTGAATAATTAATTTTGACGGTTAAATATGCACAAACCTTACATCTAGAATAGCTATTGACAATCATCAAAAAAAAAAAATAGCTATTGACAATTTTTACTTGATAACGTGTAAGGGACATACGCCTTCTAGAATGGTTCTCTTTTTTGTCAATAGTCAATACCATCAACATTAAACTATTATTACTACTACGTATTATACTCGCAGCTCTTCCTCCATTCTTCACAGTATCAGTTCTTACCTCTTTGTTACCCAGGTCTCAGCTCCGTGACAAGCTAAGGAGGCCAGGGAGGTTGACGTTATGGAGGCTTTGTTCCAAGAATTCATTACCTCATCAAATGAATTAGTCTACAGTCACTCCTCTGCCCCACGGGATCCGAGACTTGTAAGTGAACAAAGATTCGCCAATCCTAGTAGCAGTTTTTCAGTACCCAAATCTGCTACAACAGAAGATCAGGAGGAAGAAGACTACCCAAATGCAACTTTAAATTACATAAGCGAGATACTAATGGAGGAAGAAGACTACCCAAATGCAACTTTAAATTACATAAGTGAGATGCTAATGGAGGAAGAAGACCTGGAGAAGCAGCCTTTCATGTTCTGGGACTCCATGGCTCTCCAAGCTACTGAGAAACATTTATCTGATGTGCTAAACGGAACCGACAGCCCACCCAAAGGATTCTCACAGTGCAGTCATCTCAGTAACTCTTTGTTGAGTCCATTTGATGGCCAACATGATTTATTATCTTTGGCAAACGGAGGAGTGGAGGAGACCGATAGGGACCGATCACCTCCAAAAGGAAAACAGAACCACGAATGTCTGTCATCTGATCATGACTCTGCAGAAACCAACCAAAGGAACAAGCACTTGGCGGCAAGTTATTTGAGAAAATTGGAGCCGCTGGATGATATGTGCTACGATGTCTTGCTTGATCCAGTTGGCAGAAACACTGCTGCCTGTACCTACAAGAAACTAGAAAACACAGAACCCAGGGCGGGAGGAATAACCCCATGTGGCAAGAAGAGACCACAAATGGAAAAGGAATTCATAGATTTCAGCGGCTTACTCACCCAATGTGCAAAGTCCTTAGCAATTTATGACACCAAGGCGGCTATCGAGGCTCTTGAGGAAATAAGGCTACACTCTTCTCCTTATGGAAACGGAATAGAAAGGACGGCATTCTATCTTGCCAATGCGCTCGAGGCACGCTTAAATGGAACTGGTACATCACTGTACGTATCTAAACATTTCAACAATATCCCAGCTGCAGATATCTTGGAAGCTTTTCAGATGTATATCAAAGCAAGCCCCTTCGACGTAGTATCAATTATGATGTTAAACAAATGCATAATGAAGCTTGCAGCAAGAGCAACAAGGCTGCACATCATTGATTTTGGAATTATGTACGGTTTTCAATGGCCAAGTCTCATCCAAGGTCTCTCGATGAGGCCCGGTGGGCCTCCAGTGCTTCGCATTACTGCGATAGACTTTCTGCAGCCTGGTTTTCATCCGGAAGAGCTGGCCAATGTCACGGGCCTGCGACTGCAAAACTACTGCAAAGGATACAACGTCCCGTTTGAGTTCAAATCTGTAGCAAGGAAATGGGAGAGTATAACACTGGAAGACCTTGATATTGATAGGGATGATGACATCCTGGTTGTCAACTGTTTGAAAATGCTAGGAACGGTGCCAGATGAGATACTGGTGCCACATGATAGCCCACGGGACATTGTGCTCAATCTGATCAAGAACATTAATCCAGATATGTTCACCCACGGGATTATGAATGGGGCCTACAACAGCGCGTTCTTTGACTCACGATTCCGTGAGGTACTGTTTCATTACTCCTCACTGTTTGACATGTTTGATGTGACTGTGCCAAGTGAAGATAAGGACAGGTGGCTGTTTGAGGAAATGGTGTTTGGAAGAAGTATGCTGAATGTGATCGCCTGTGAAGGAGAGGAGAGAGTCGATAGGCCAGAGACATACAAGAACTGGCAAGCTCGAAGCCTTAGGGCTGGACTCCAGCAACTACCACTGGATCAAGAGATTGTCAATTGTGTGAGGGAGAAAGTGAAATCTGATTACAATAAGAATTTTTACATGGAAGAAGATGGGAACTGGTTGTTGCAAGGATGGAAAGGAAGGGTACTGCAAGCTATCTCCTTTTGGAAGCCTAATAACAACTAGTGGAATAGTTTGTCTTAATCTGGAATAGCAATGTCTATTATTCTTAGTTTCTTACTACTATCTTTATGATTCATTCCAGTCAATTTTATCATTATTAACATTCCTATATAATTAGTTATCATAAGATGGTCGTATAAGGTAGGAATTGCTAACATTTGGAACATCCAAAAGCCAAGGAACTCGATCAAATTACACACTATATGCAAGTTGATAACTTTGTCTTCTACAAGCCCAGAAAACGGAAAAGATTCTTAGGCCTAACATAATTCAGACATATATATTACGATTGACACAGCTTTAAAATGCATAATAATCAACCAAAGATAGCTTTGTTTTCTGAAACTGCAGAAAGTTCAGAGCAGAGTTAGAGAAGCTTAGATGAAGAGAATTAGGGGGTGTTTGGAACTGATTCTGCTTCTGCTTCTTTTTTAAAAGCAGAAGCAGAATCAGAATCAGTTTTCAGAAGCTGGTACCCTCAGCTTCTAAAAAAACTGATTCTGAGAGTAATTAGATCTCCAGAAGTACTTCTGGAATTTCACCCAAACACTCCAGCTTCTGCTTCTGCTCCCTGAAGGAGCAGAATCAGTTTTGAGAATCAGATCCAAACACCCCCTTAGTCCCAATTTAGTCATCACTATAAGACAAAAAGATGAGGTGAAGATAAGAAAGCAAATCAAAGCCTCTAGTATGTACTCAGTTTACGAAACCACTAATAATAGTAGATCAGAAGCAACCATGGTACCAAATAAATCATAATCGGTCAAGAAATCATATTATGAATATGATCCTTGATGTAAGGTATGACCCCATAACTGATGATGGTTAGAAGAAGTTGCATGCAGAGCATCAAGCTTCAAAAAAAGAAAAAGACAAATGAAGTGAAGGAAAAATAGCAAAAAGAGGACAGTCAACACGACACCACATGTTTTAGAGTTATAGCACTACCAACACACTAGCAGTCTAGCACTGATAATTGGTTAATAAAGAAGCATGTCAAGGGAAAACTTCCCAAGAACAAATAGAATTAGCCTTTTTTATTTTGATGCTTTGGTGGCCTAAGAACACTCAAATCCAAGTTTTCACACTTTCGTTGCTTCTCGTACTTGTTGTTGCCACTGGAAAATGGCCCCTCATAAACATGCACATTTTTATGTGTTTTGTTCGGAAAATGGACATCAGAAACAGTGGCTTCTTGTTTCCTCTTGTAATCTCCTGTATGTGCTTGTGTTGTTAAAATTTGATGAATTCTCAGGAGCATCTCGACTTAAACCCATTTCTCTGGAGCAATCAAGAATATGTAATCTTATAACAAAATTAAATTTTTATTAGAAAGTTAAAGTAATCTCATATTATGTAAATGAAGCTCAGAAGGAAATCCAGGTACTACTTGGCCACCTGGCCAAATAAAAGCCATACAACTCAACACTCAAGAATAGATCAAGCTTGATCTTTGAAGTTTTTAAATGATTGCCAAATTGATGTAATGACACCATACCCCATATTTAGGCTTCATACTAAATAAAATATTTGCATTATGGTTAGGGAAATCACTGTGTAATTATCAAGCAATAATGATGAAACCATTATTTTTTGAAATAATTACAAATTTAGGACTAAAATAAAGGCTGTTTATAAAAATAATTAATTCCACTTTTGGTCCTATGAGTTTGATGTCAATTCCACATTTAGTCCACGCCTTTCACTTTGTCCACTTTTGGTACTTGACTAATGTTTTTTTACCATTGATGATCCTTTTCCGGTAATTTTAACCACCGAAAACATTGACGGAAGGACCATATATGGGCGAAAACACAATAGTCAGGTACCAAAAGTGATCAAAATCAAAGACGTGGACCAATTGTGGAATTGGTGCGATACTTGTAGGACAAAATGTGGAATTCTTATAAAAAATGTGACTCCTTATAAATGTAGTGATAGTCATAATAACTTTTGTTCAATTTTTACACTTAAATAACCATGACACAATTCTAGTCATACTCCCTCCGTCCCAAAAAGAAGTTCCCGGTTTGACCTGCACACATATTTATGTAAAATAGAGTTTTGTTTTGACTTTCCAAATATACCCTTGTTTTATGTCAATTCAAGCAAAAAGTGGATAAAAAGTCGGGGTAGTTGTGGCTTTTTGGTTAAAAGTTGTTTCCTTTTATAAAATGGGAACTTTTTTGGAACATCCATAAAAGGAAAGTGCGAACTTCATTTTGGGACGGAGGTAGTAGTAATTTTAGTTATATTTTTCAAAATAAGTATTATTTCAGTAATATTTTTGAAAAAAAAACTCTTATTTTTTAGTTTTATTTTATATACGAAAAATCATTGTTTAATAATCAAGTAATAATGATGAAAACATTATGTATACAGTTAACCTAAAGATTGACTTGCTTATTAGAAAGTATTTCACTTGTTCCAGAAGTTGTTTCGGAGGCTTGCATGTAAGCAGACAGAAAGCCAGAAGAGTGAACTTAGAGAAACTTGCCAAAATATTTCAAGTCATTCAAACCTCAAACTCACATCAATAACAGGGTTAAAATTTTGGAATGACATCCGGCCCTTTCTTGCCCCAGGATGAGGATCACCTTCCATAATAACCACACTGGAATAGGAAAGACATGAGAGTTTCATATGAACAAAAAAAAATGGAATTGAAACAATCGGAACCAAGAGAAAAAGCCTGGGAACTGTATTACTTAAGGGATATAATTTTTATATTGATATGCCCATCAAGATCTAAATACCATGTACTGCTTCCAAAAGAATAGCGCGACTTCCTCATTGTGGGATAGAGTGCACAGGACAGACTCCATGAAATGTTTTTAATTCTTTATAGCATTGCATATTGCAGTACACATAAACATTAAACAAATTGTCCAATCTACTAGTTCCCATGTTATACAACACATTCAAATAAGAACTAAGAAGCCAAGCTAAAAAATACTCATTAATTAGAGCCCCAATAATAGAATTTCTGTCTAAAGCAATCCCTCAATCTGCCAACAATCCCAATGACCAGTTGAAACCCCCAATCCACTACTCCTAAACTGAGAAATAGAATACTTAAATGGTGAAAACTGAAAAAGAGTTTGATGCCAATAGAATCTCAAAGGGGAAGACTAGATAGACACAATCAAACACTATGATACTTTGACACTATATTGTTTACGCTTCAAAGTAAGATCAAATATCGATCTATGTATATGCAGAAGAAAGAATTGCCATCTTTTGGGCGCAATTGAAGAAGTAATGTTACCATCAGGCATCCCGAGCGGAAGACTAGATAGATAGTACAATGCTATGATACTTTTAGCCAGTGTGATGATGCTGAAATAGATAATTCGGCTGAATTTGATGAAATTCTGATTGAATTGACTACATTTGCTGAATCATAAAAAAATTATATTTAAACTATATTTTATTAATTAAATAAGAAATTATTATATGAAGAATAGTCTTATGCAATCAATTCAGTCAGAAAAGTAACTTCTTTCTTACTTATTTTGATTATTAAATAATTCAGTACACAAAATCAAATGTTTAATGTTTGTAAATAAAAAGTTGGTGCTGTTAAGATGAAAATAGAGGCCACCAGACGGACTATTTGACATTATCATTATGAAATTTTATCGATCCAGGACCTGAAAGATAAAGTGTATAGGGCCGAATGATTGAAAAATATCAATTTAAAACCTAAAATATCATGAATTTTAATATTTCTTAATTTAAATAAAAAAATTATGATAAAGCGACTTTTACTAATATAGAGAAAGCATGCAAGACAATATCCACACAGCTATTACAGATTCAATCGTAAGCCCTGCGAATAGACATAGAGTCAACCACTCATACAAAGTAACCTGACTCGCTAGCCACAAAACGGGCAAGATTAAGCATAAAACGACCGAAAATGAAGCATTGTCTATAAAAAGATCTTCAAAAATCAAAATACTCCAATCATATTTGGTCGAACTGAAATAAAAACAAGTATTACTAAAGGGAAAATAATACAAAAAAAAAAGTTTCCCAAATTGTTTCCTAAATGGAGGTGGTTTCGGAGGAGGACGAGCTGCCTTTTCCAAATTTCTTTTTCAGTGAATAGAATTTTGACCCCTGAAAAATTCATCTCAAACCCTATTCTCCATGCACCATCGGCCGCATCTTCATCCTCCATAGTCAACGTGTAGTACGGCTCCTCAAGTTTCTCCATTGAAATCACCAAAGTCTGCCTACGAACTCACTGCCCTACTTCAGCGTCTTCGTCTGATAAAACTAATAGTCGAACAAACTGTCGGTTGCAGGCGTTAAACCACACCGGAAAAAACAAACCCTAGAAAACCCTAGGGTTTTCTTATGAATGTCTTGCACCTACATCAACGATGAGGACAAGAAATCTAGAAGAAACAACCCAGAGAAGAAGACAACAATTGTGGCTGGTTCGACTTTGAGGCGGCTATGAAGAGAACCCCTACTGCTGCACTCCTTGTTTATTTTAAAAAATTTAATATTATTTAATCTTGCTAAACTAGTACTCCGTAAAATTTTGTGAATAAAAAACAACAAAAATTATGTATGGAGTTAATGAAAAATTAAATAAATCAAAATCAACGATATTTTAGGTCTTTGATTGATAGTTTTCCATCATTTAGATCCTATACAAACACACTTTATCTTTCAGTCCTGGATGGATAAAGATAAAATTCCATTATACCTCAAAATAAGATCAAATATCTATCTATGTATATATGCAGAAGAAAGAATTACCATCTTTTGCGCGCACTTAAAGAAGGTATAGCAGGCATGTCATCTTCAGCTTCCTTGGCTTTTTCCTCTCTGTTGTCTGATACTCTTTGCATAAACTGCAATAAAGGAGACAACTTTTTGGATTTAGCAAGCAACTTATTAAAAACTATCTTGGAGGCAAATAGTTAAGCTCACAAATCACAACTTATGAAGACTATACAACAACTACCAGGCCTTAATACCAAATCGATGGAGTTAGCTATACTAACCAATACAAATTCCACCGAGTGCATCTTCTGAAATCCTATTTCCATTCCTTTTGTTTTTGTACTAAGCTCAAATTCCAATAAAAAGACTATCTTGGAGTACGTTGTCTACCATAAGAATCTGTAAAAAAGGACTCCAAATTATGAGTAATTACTAAGGATGGCAATGGGGGCGGGGGCCCGTGGGGAACCGCCCCGTGGGGGGGAGTTGGGGCGGGTGGTGGGGTGGGGTGGGTGGTGGGGTGGGGGAGATATTTTCTCCCCGCAAAAATATGGGGCGGGTGATGGGTTATGCACCCCCGCCCCGTCCCCGCCCCGTCCCCCGTAATAATTAATAATAATAATCTCAATAATAATAGTAATAGTAATACTAATACGAAGTAATTAAAATAGCATGGTGGTCCGGTGGGTTTAGTGGTTTCCTATCTAATGGATTGTGCGTAATGGATCTATCTAATTCTTGTTTAATAACTAAGCTATCTTGTAAAATTGCTTATCAAAATCATAAAGTAAAATGATTTTTTTAGAGATAAAATAAAATGAATTTGGGAAAGTTATAAAGTGATATTAGCTTAAACGCCTCAGGCACGGTGTGAAAGTTTTTTTCCTTTACTATTATAATGCATTAATTCTTTTCTTTTGAATGTCATCTTTATGATTGTAGTTAGGGCTCTTAAAATTTGGTGATCATATGTCGTCCTAGATGCCGTCAAATGACCATGATTGATTGAATGCAGGGTTTAAGAAAATATTATAGAGCTAATCAATGCTAATTTAGAGTTTGATAAAAATTACTAATTTAGAACGCGTATAATGTGTTCTAGATTTGAAATGGGATGTAAGATTACATTGACACTTCAAAAGTAAAAAAAAAATTGGCTACTAGAAGTGTTGTTAAATTTTTGAAAAATTGTCAGTGTCTAAAATGATGTTAATTTTTGACGAGTACTTCCCCGTTGGGTACCCGTGGGTCTAGCGGGTCGGGGCGGGGATGGGGCGGGTCGAATAGTAGTGGGGGATGGGGCGGGGGTGGGGGCGATTTTTTAGACACGGGGTGGGGGATGGGGGAGTGAACCCCCGCCCCAACCCCGCCCCATTGCCATCCCTAGTAATTACTGGATTGAATTAAGTAAACCACTCGAAATCATTCAACTATACCATTATATGAATAACCTCCCAGATATGAATTCTTCTCGGCCAAAATTAAATTTACCTTCAAGTTTTTTAAAGTACTGGATAGCTCGCGCTTGGCCATTCTGATCTCCCGGCACAAATGAACTTTCCCGGACTCCTTTCTTGGTTGAAAAAGGATTGGGGTACACACTTTTTGTACACAAAAAGTGTACGCTCGTCTGTCCCCGACAGACAAGTTGTCTGTCGCGAGATGAGTTGTCTGTGGGACAGACAACTCATCTCGCGACAGACAACTTGTCTGTCGGGGACAGACGAGTGTACACTTTTTGTGTACAAAAAGTGTATACCCCTAGCTCCACCCTTCTTGGTTAGGACTAAAAACAGTCCAAGAGACATGACCATTAGCCATACGATGGTCTGGTCTGGTTTAATGTGTTTAAGTCTGGTCTGATTTGATCTGATCTGCTATGCTCTAATCTGATCTGGTTTGGGACTAAAAATCATCCAAAAAAATCACCCTTGGCCATTTCAAGAAACTATGTCATTTCTATTTAATGTAATGAATATATGGTTAAATTAATTCAACCTTCCTCTAATCTGCATAATTTTAACCACACAATCTTGACTTTATTATTTCATGTGAAAGTCAATTTTGGCCAAGCTTTGTGAAAGGGATGGTGTAATAATAGATAGATAACGAGTATGATATAATTAATTAATTAAGTGAGTAATCTTTTTTATATTATTAGTAATCGATGACATGAACAATTATATTTAGTATTTTTTGTAACCGGATTTATCACGCTTGAATATAATGTAATATTCTATACTTTTTTAACAAAAATCTGAACGTTTCGTCATTCTATCTTTATTTTTGTATCTAAATGAATTCTTATTTTTTTATGTTTCTAGATTTCCAATTGTTATATTTATATATAATGCATTTTTAATGTGTTATTTATAGGTTGTAACTATTAATTACATATTTACATAATCTTTAATCTATTATTATAATTATAGAGTTTTAAATGCTTCAATAAAAGGCATTTGCAGACTTGTAGAAGATATTAAAATCATCCATGGCGCAAAAAGAAAGAATGCTCCATGGAATATTTATTGTATAAATTGAAGCAAATTTGTTATCGTTTGGTTTGAACGATGCTCGTGTCTTGCCAGATTCTTGGAAAAATAACATAGCATATGGTCTTGAATCGCCAAGAACTGTGGCATGGGTAATAAACTGATAATGAATTTTATCATTTAACCTTGTGGCCTAGGTAAACCAGCATGAGCAAATTAACACAATATTTTCTTATACGGAGTATTAAATATGTATCTGCATTTTAATTACTTTTTACGGTGTGTTGTTGTGGTAATTGCACATTTACGATGCAATCATTTTATTTTTCTAGTTTGTTGTAATTTAGTAAATTTAGAATCATCATGAGCAAGAATCAATCAAGAATCAACAAAGGATCATGGAAGGGATCTTAAGGAACAAAGGAAAGTGCAAGGGAACAAGAAATCATGCAAGAAATGTGATTTGGTGACTTACCCGGTCGGGTATAGCCTTTACCCGGTCGGGTATGAAGTGACCCGGACAAAAAGGCGTGCCGGAAACACAAAATCGTGGTCAAAATATTTGATTTTGACAAATACCCGGTCGGGTATCTAAAAAACTCGGCCGGGTATCCAGCCATAGGTGTTGAAAACACCTATAAATAGCCCCATTTTCCTTCACTTTTAATCCTTCCTTCTTCCATACTCTTAAACTCAGTTTAGAATAGTATTTCTTTTATATTTTTATAGCATGGGTGTTTAGTCTCTGATGTGAGTTTTCTCGCACTTAAAATAGATCGTAATATAGTGGTGTAAGTACGAGTATCGTCTCCACAGGGACGGACAAAAGGGAATCAAGAATTAATTAAATTCAGCGATTAAAAGAAATAAATAAAATAAATGCGTCGTGCGAGATATGATTGGTATGAAAAATTAAAATGCAACTAAACGATTAAAATAAATGGGTTCTTTCTAATTAATGACGAAGGGAACATGGATTGATTCCGAGGTAACCAGATTTCTGGCAGATCAGGCCTAATTACATGAAATTAATTCAATTGAGCCTAGCTAATCATTACTAAGTTCTTACCGCTCTCGCGGCGTAGAGTACAATAATTTAGGGGACCAGGCTGATCTCTCATGTGACAGGATCCTAAATTATTGCCAAGACGAGCAAGCTTACGGTCCCTTAATCGCTACTAATCTCTTAGCGAACGATTAAGTGTGTGTGAATGTGTCCTAGAATAAACTAGATCTCTCTTAATTTATTCTACAAGCAATTGTAATTCTAGCGCGCGTTCTAGGTTACAAAAGATATCAATTAAATTATTCAAACACAAATTAAACGGCATTCATGCAATTAATAATAGAGTAATTAATACCCATTAATTAGGTTTCCATCTTTATGTAGTTTCCTAATGTATTCAGGACATATTTTTATTATATATATGACACCTAGGGCTACCACATTGGTAAGCCTTCTCATTATTCTCACATGGTATCAAGAGCTCTAGGTCTTTAGCCATTAAATATTTTTTTTTCGATGGCCTCTCCACCTACAACCGCCGCCGCCACCGAGACAATAGCCGCCTCCGCCGGGTTAACCACGGCGGATGAGACGCCGGTTTTGAGCGCGGCTCAACAGACGCGACCCACCATCTCAGCGCCGCCGCAGACGTCCATCATTACAAACGATGTTCCGGTCTCGCCGCTTTCTTCTTCGTGGGTACCGCCTGTTTTTACTTGGACTCCGACGCCACCAACGATGCAGCCGCCTATGCCGCCGCTGTTTCCAGCCGACTCGCACGCCGAGTCAAGTGCTGCCGGTGCTGCTCGAGCCAGATTCGCCGGTCCCACACTATCCGGCAGTCCCGGGTTGTTCATGCCACAACCGACTGGGCATATTGGGCATCGCCCGGTAGATAATTCTCTTCCTGTTTCTTATGCTACTTTGGCTCAAGGTATGACTTTTGGAGCCTCAATTACACAAATTGTGACCTCCAAATTGCTAAAAGTCGAAGATTATCTGCCCTGGCGAACCCAATTTGAGTCTTTTCTGGTGGCCAACGGTCTTTTGGGCATTCTTGATGGGTCTCTGCCACCTCCGCCTCTGTATATCTATGATTTATATCAGGCTCAATCTATTAATCCTGAATATCATCATTGGTTGAAATTGGACCAAACTGTGCGTGCTTGGTTATTTGCTACCCTATCCCGTGAAATTTTGATGGAGGTTCATACCTTGAAAAATTCTTTTGCTATTTGGGAACGATTGGAGTCTCGATTCATGGCTGCCAGTCTTGCTCGCGCCATGGAGTTGAAGCAGATGTTGTCTCACACCAAAAAGAAGGAGAATCAATCCATGGAGGAGTACGTTCGTGGAATTCAAACTCTTGCTGATAATTTGGCCTCCATCAACTCGCCGGTCTCCAATGCCGATCTCATTCAATACACTCTTTTAGGATTGGGACCAGGATATGAATCACTGGTTGGACCCTTGACCTTGTTTCCTGAAGGGCTCACTTTTGACAAATTGGGTACCAAATTGGTTCATCAAGAGGCACGTCTACGCTACCAACAGTCCCTGGAACCGATGGCTAATACTCCGGCTTTCGCTGCACCTTCCTCGGCAGGGGGTGGACGTGCCGGCTCTTCCTCCAGCGATCCACAGCAGCAACAGCCCGCTCGAGGAGGACATGGCGGTCGACGCGGAAACCGAGGCCGTGGTCGTGGCCGTGGCCGCGGCAGGTACCAGCAGCAGCAGTCCGGGTACGGCCAGCCTCCGGCCTACTACGGTCAGGCTCCGCCACATCCACAGCAGTCATTATCCGGCCGAACGCCTCCTCCGCCAAATCATTGGGGTCCTGGTACAGTTTTATGTAATACGATTGAGTCATCGTTTTCTACTCCTGCTCTATCGACTTTTTGTACTAATTATGCTTCTGCAGGATCTTCATCTTTTGAGAATAATTTTGGTTCAGTTCCTCCACCTGTCGTTTGTCAAATTTGTCACTCTCCAGGCCACTCAGCTGTTTCATGTCCATCTCGCTTTGTTCAAACTCCGACTCCTGCACTTGCTGTCTCCACGGGTGAATCCACTCCAGCTGTTTGGTATCCTGACTCAGGTGCTTCCGCTCATATGACCCCAAATGAAGGTATTTTGCATAATAAATCTGTCTATTCTGGACCACTCAAAATTACAGTTGCTAATGGCTCTAATCTTCCTGTTATGACTACTGGTAATTTGCATTTAGCTACTAAACCACGGCCTCTCCATTTAAAAACGGTTTTTCATGTACCTAATCTTAAATATAATCTTCTATCCATCCAACGATTGTGTGCTGATAATAACTGTTTTGTGATTTTTGATAAAAATTCTGTCTATGTCAAGGACACAATTTCGGGGAAGGTGCTCCTCCAAGCTTCCAGTAATGGTGGCGTTTATCCTATTTCTATCACTCAGCCATCCTCAGTTGCTCTTAGTTCTCAAGCTGCTCCCGGGCCTATTTGGCATCGTCGTTTGGGCCATTGTGGAAGTCGCATTTTAGATAGATTAAAAAAATCTGACAGTGTTCTTAGTACTTCTAATTTTTCTCATAATTGTATTTCTTGTCGGTTAGGAAAATCATAACGATTACCGTTTCAAGAAGTGTGGCATAAATCTACTACTCCTTTGTTTTTAATTCATTCTGATGTTTGGCAGTCTCCTGTTCTTTCTTCAAGTGGCTTCAAATATTATGTTTTATTTATTGATGATTTTTCCCGTTTTACTTGGCTTTATCCCATGCGCAATAAAAGTGAAGTGGTGAGACACTTTCAGCATTTTAAATCTATGGTGGAAAATTTACTTGATGCTAGAATTAAAATTTTTCAAAGTGATGGAGGGGGTGAATTTGATAATCATGCTATGCGCGAAATTTTTACCAAAAATGGTATTTTATTTCGTAAATCATGCCCCGACACTCCTGAACAAAATGGAGTAGCTGAGCGCAAACACCGGCATATACTTGAGTTAACTCGCACTATGCTCTTTGATGCAAAGTTGCCAGCTAATTTTTGGGTAGATGCTGTGTTTACCGCAATTTTTATCATTAATAGGCTA